GCTGAACCTGTCTTGAGCTTCTTCTTTCTCGCCTGGGGGACAATATTGCAGCCTGTCATGAGGAGCTCAGCTTGTATCAGGAAAGGCCTGTTCACTACCATACAGCTAAAGACTTGCACTCAGCAGAGGGCTCTTCTAGGTCCTACAGCCCCAGCCCTAATGTAGTGTTAAAGCCTTTTAGCAGAGGCTGGCACATGGAGTCCCAAGGTGGAAGAAAAGCCAAGGATCTGCTTTGTACAGATGCATGAGATACCAGTTTACTGCTAGAGGACATGTGGGACGGAAGCAATGAAATATATCTACCATAGAGCAAACAAGACGTGCCAAGTTTAGCTATGTGTTTTGCTTTTCAGATCCAAGGACAGACCCATGGCCCCTGGTCTACTCTCCACTTCCAGTCACCCTTCTCTTTGCCTTCTACCTCTTTGTTGTGGCACTGGGGCCATGCCTCATGCGCAAGCGGGAGCCACTGAAGCTGAAAGGTCTGCTGATTACCTACAACCTCGCTATGGTGACATTATCAAGCTATATGTTTTATGAGGTGAGGAGACTGGATCTTCCTCTCATTCACAAAATTAATGGTGAAAGGTTACTTAATGACCAAGCTAGAAGTTGGAATCTCCCAGGTAGTCACAGAGCATATGCAGGACTCCTCATTTTGTCTCAAACCTGCCTGATAAGGTGCTCACCTCTGAAAATGAGGGAACTTCTTTTCCAGACTTGCACAATCCTCTCCAAGCATATCAAGTGCATTGCAGCTTCCTGCTTCCATAAGTGTTGATTGCATTGCTTTCTGCTGGTTTGATGTGTGGACAATTCTAAAATATTCTCAGCTGAGACCCACTGGCTTATTTTATGTACACCACTGAATATTCTTCAAATAGGTAGGGCTGAACAGGTTTGATAAACAACTTGATGTGAACAAATTTGCCAGTTAAATTTATGGTCCAATTCTTAGGTTTAGTTAAAGCAAATTGTAAATTTTTTGAGGAAATACTGCTAGATCTCAGGATAGGTATGAAAATTGATTGCCTATGCATGCTTGTTCAGTTATACTGGTTACCTGGTATAGCTTTTGGCTTTCCAGTTAATAGGCAAATGCAACTAGCCAAACCAAATAGTGTAATGTTTACAAATGAAAACACTTTTTAGAGAAACTCTGAAACCTAGAATTCACTGTTCCCACTAAAGTATTTTTGAGCAATCCAGCAATTGCATAAAGAGTTACAAACTTGATCAAACTGAATATTCATTTTCTGATTCCAACAAGGACATGAAGTATTTTCTTTCAGGTTTTACTTTTTGCTCAGCCACAGAAGCTGCATGGATTTTCAGTTAGTGAATGCTAGATTGAGACCCTGTGGCCTTTATCATGAATTTGTACATCTTTTAGAAATGGATGGTGTTGAACAGAAAATGAATTCCTGTTGCTTTTCTTTCTTTCAGTTTCTGGTAACTTCAGTCTTGGACAACTACAGCTACCTGTGCCAACCAGTGGATTACAGCCGAAGTGAACTAGGAATGAGGGTACAGTTCTGTACAAAGCTTGCCTTAGGCCCTGCTCTGCCTCTGGGTATGCAGATTGTTTTGCTGGTAAATAGCAATTTGCATTCCTAAGAAGCGTTTTGCTTGTAAATTTATTTCACTAAATTGTCTGCTTTAGCAATTGCATTTAGCTTTAGCTCTCTAGAGATTAATCACCTCATTTGATATAGCCATCTAAGTTCCCTCTTTGACCAGTGGAGAGAGGGTGATCCTTCCATTTGAGGACAGATGTCTAATATATGTATCACAAATTACCTCTGAAAGATATGTGGCACTCTCTATTGATTTTGTAAGGATTCTGGGTGATCATTGTCAACTAGAAAACCAATTTTTATATCCTAATATTTGCATAGCATAAATCTCACTCAAAATTTCTGTGAACTGGAGGATCCGGCTAAAACTATTTCTTGTTTGGCTAGCACAGGGGGACCTGGGTCTCACCATCTTCAGCTTTTCAAAATACCGCATGATTTTTTTTCTCTGTCTGAATTTGGAGCTATTATATTTTGCCTCCAGATAAAAACAGGCTTCAAATGGCTGCAAGCATGGATATTAGCTTTGTGGCTTTCCAGGTACTTGCCATCAGGCTAGAAATTGTTGTTGAATAGCTCGCCTTGCCTTGCCAAAGAACAAACAACTTAGCAAACAAATCATCTAACCAGCCAAAGCTACTAAAATGCTAAATGAATTCTTCTCCTCCCTGCTCCTTCCTGAGCACCCACTCTGGGGAAAGCAACAGCCATAACAGACCCAACTTAGTTTTTCACCTTGGCTGTTGAACCCAGGTGGGCAGCTTTCACATACTGCATGGATCAATAGTTAAAAATCTACGGTAGTAAAACTAAGCAGTGATTTTTCCTTGAGATCTAACAGCATTTCCTTGTGCTGCCCAGCAGATGGCAAGAGTGTGTTGGTGGTTCTTCTTTTCCAAAGTCCTCGAGCTGCTGGATACGGTAAGGGGGGCCTTGGCTCCATAGCAGAACTGGGGCTCCGAAATAAATCACTTCCTTGTCAGGAAAGGGCAGAGTGCCAAAAGCTAGTGTCCTGGGTTGATCCTGTATTGATTTGGGTGATGCTTTTCAGTAAATGCTTTTTTTCATGTGTTCTGCTCTGCCTGTTTGTGAGAATACAGCTGACACTGTCAAAAAATAGGGCACAGCTTCAGAGTATGGTTACGTAGAGACATTTTGCCTGCAAGAGTGCAGCACTGCCACTGGATAGCATGCTGCTAGGCTTCCTCAAAAGCCTCTTTCCAAACAAACAAAAATGCTGAACCTATGTCCAGTTTGCCAGTCTCTATCCCAGTGACTGTATACGCGTTCCACTCCTCAGCACCTGTTCTGTAAGTGGATGTTCCCTTTAAATCACAAACAGTCCCTAAGGGAGAAGCTTTAACCTTAGCTACTGCCAAAAATGGTCTACCAAAATCTTAGTTACCAGTTGATAAAGGCTGCCGGAATATCTGCCTCTATACAGGAGCTGTCATTGCTGGTCCGGATGAATGACAGTGGTTAGTTATGCAGTAAAGGGACTGCATGTGTCCTGGTAGTTCTGCTGCTGCAGATTATTCCAAAGCTGCAGGTTAAAGGTTTGTATCCCAAGAGAAATCAAAAGTCCTTGTGAAGGCACAACCATTTTACAGCTTGTACGTTAGTTGTTCTCCTATATTTCAAAGAACTGAGAACTGAGCCTGAACTAAGAAGGGAATCACACTTCTCAACTTGATTGGCCAGGGAAGGCTGTATTCTAGCTTGTGTAGGACTCCACAGTCTGGTGCTCGTTGTGGGGATAAGTTGACAACACATTGCATTGTGAATCAACATGTGGAGCCTACCCAGACCTATTGGCAGTGGGTTTGCCCATCCTCTCTGTGTTCTCATCAGCAAGTGAAGCTGCTTTTCATCATCTTTTTTTTTTTTTTTAAATCAGTGGCAGAGGAAATGGGGTTGGGAAGATTCGGAAGCATCATTAACTGTTCTTATCACCTTCTGGTATAATATCTTCCTCTGTCTAAACACATCAGCTCAAGACTTTCCTTTGCCGGGTTTCTTCCAGGTTTTCTTTATTCTGCGCAAGAAACAAGAACAAGTGACTTTCCTGCATGTATATCACCACGGCACGATGCTGTTCAACTGGTGGTCAGGCGTCAAATATGTTCCTGGGGGACAAGGTAAGTTTCTATGGACATCATGTGCTTCAATTTTTCCTGGGCTTTGGAGATAACATAAGCAGTGCAGATGGGCTGACTGATAGGCAGGAATCTCACCTATTTCCAAAGGTGTGAAAAACATGTGAGTTTCAGTGGATACCATCTGCTCAGTTCTTTGGGCTATTTAGACTGCTATATTCACTGCCTCATCCAGAACAAGAATGTGCCAGTCATTCCCTGTGCAAACAGAAAAAAACAGCACAGTATACAAGGTCTATTCATACCTCACCCAGACCTTCAATTCCCAT